TTGCACTTATGAGGAAACTGAAGCCCGGAGTGGCAGGTGAAGCTGGCAGCGTCACATGTGACCTTTAGATTGGCTAGTAAGTGGTGAATCTGAGATTCAGAGTCACGTTCATCTGACACTTACCGCAGTAGACACCTTTCCTGTACCCCGAAACCGTGACTCAGAGGAAGTACACAGGAGAGGAGGTTCCACATCTGCAGGAGTAACTGGGGTTTGAAAGAAGAAGAACTCCCTGAGAGCTTGAAAGACACTGGGAATCAGAGATAGAGACATGTTCCTGGAGTGGTTTGAGAAGATCTTTTGGGGGGGGGACCAGCAGGTGGTGAAATGATCACATTGCTGAACTCCCACATAGTTGAGTGCAGTTCAAGTCCTGGACCCAGTGACTTCAAATGCAAGCCAGGCGCATGTGTGTGCATGCCCAAGATCCCGAGAGGAGAGTGGAGGAGAAGGGATTGCAGCATGGCTATTTCCCCTGGGGGATGATTTCTCACTTTATGTCTCTCTGTCTCTCTGGCAAGCATATGCACCCTGCAGCAAAAATCTCTCTCAAAAATAAAACCAAAGCCAAAAACAACTCAGGCTGGGCACATGTGCATGCATGCCCAAGATCCCAACAAGAACATGGAGGAAAAGGGACTGCAGAGTGGCCTTTCCTCCGGGGCCGATTTCTTGCTTTCTGTCTCTCTGGTGAGCTCATGCACCCCAGAGCAAAACAATCTCTCTTAACAAAACAAAATAAACAAAAAATATATATATGCCTATATATACGTAGGGTTTTGGCCATAGGACATCATGTGGGCTTCTCTCTGTAGAGAGAGACAGAGAGACAGAGAGAGGGAGAGTGAGAAGTCACACACCTCTCCCTCTCCCGGCAGAGGGGATGGCCACAACGCAATCCCTTCTCCAGTCTCCTGCCAAGATTTTGGGCACACGGGCACATGCACCTGGGGAGATTTTCACACTGTCAGGTCCAGACTGGAACCACGGTGGACTATGTGGGAGTCCAGCGCCTTAAACACCACACCATCTCCTGGCCCCATCCCTAGAAGATCTTTTTAAAATCTTCATTAGTTTTAAAAAAAGCTGGCAGGAAGAAGGCAGAACAGCAGCTAGCTGGCTACTCCAGCCCACGTAATCTCTTCATCCGTTTTATCCGGGCAGCTGAGAAGCCCCAGCTCCCACCTCGGCTGACCTGAAGCCCCTCGGCAGAAGGAGCAGCGGCCTTCCCGGAAGCGGCAGTTGGGCCGGTGGACCATGGTCTGAGCAAGGAAGGCGGGAAGAGCACGCCCCGCATCTGAGTCAGCTTCTCCCCAGTTTCCCCTGCGCTCCTCAAGCGTGCACCCCGCTTCCACTGCCCAGGCTCAGCTAGAAAACCCCTCCAACCAGCAATGGAAGCGGGGTTGCTGGGTGGAGCCACCGTCGCAGGGTGATCTGTGACTTCTCCACAGATGGCTAGATGCCTTGTCACCTGTCGTGGGCCAACTAGTTGTTGGCCTTCGTCCAGGGCTGGGTTGGTGCCCGCTTTCCACCCAACATGCCTCGCTTTGACCTTGACCCTGGCCTTGCTATTCTTGTCAGGCAATGGTGGAGACGAGTGTCCAGGAAGGAGGGAACAGGAGCGGGCAAACCAGACTCAGGCAGGGAAGAGTGACCTCCCGTTTCTGTTTTCACATAGGCCCGAGCAAGAAGAAAAAGACGGTAAACTTGTGTAAGAGTTTTAGGTCAGAAACAATATAAAAGCATTGCACTCCAAGGTCATTAGAAACAAAAAATGGAGGGACCAGCAGTTGGCATAATGTCTATGTCTCTGGACTCCCATGTAGTCGATCACAGTTCGAGTCCTGGACCCAATAGCTTAAACTCATGCTGGGCGTGTGTGCGTGCATGCCTAAGATCCCAAGAGAATGGAGGAGAAGAGATTGCATCATGGCCATCCCCCACAGGGGGTGGGGAGAGTGATTTCTCGCTTTCTGTCTCTCTGTCTCTGTCTTTCTGGTGAGCTCACGTGCCCTATGGCAAAAACCTCTCAAAAACAAACAAACAAACAAACAAGCAAAATATGTGAATACAATGCGTTGGGTTATTGGGTGAATACAACCGATATTCTAGATGGTTTTAAAAAGTTTTTTCTTTTTAATTTTTTTTTAACATTGTTATACATTTTCCAGAATTTCTACAAAGAGAACATATCTCACAGAAATCAAGGAAAATTGCAAATGAGAAAGGCAAGTGCCAAGTGCAGCTGGTCGGTCCAGTCCCGGCTGCTCCAGCTGGCCTATGGCACTGGCTCCAAATTCTCCAGGGCGCAGGTGGGCAGGGCAGCTGGAGAGGAGGGGAGTGTGCAGATGCCACCCCGCAGTATCCCACACACTCTGTTCCTTCTGCAAATACATGTAATAAGAACCGATTCCAGGACAGCCCGGTGTCAAGGCTGTTGGATACCATATGGCCGAAGGCATGGTTCAAGTCCTGGACCCAGCAGCTTGAAAAACACACCAGGCGTGTGTGCATGTGTGCCCTGAATCCCAAGAGTAGAAGTGATTGTGGTGTGGTGTGGTCACTCTCCCTCCGCCTCCTGGGATGCTTTTTCACTTTCTCTTTATCTCTCTCTCTCTCTCTGGCAATTGCACACACCCTATAGTAAATTTTAAAAGGAAAAAAAAAAAGATTCCTGGCTGAAGTCTATTTCTGGGAAGAATTGTGCATTGGAAATGAAGATATCCCCCCTTCTATAGTACAGGCTTGAAAAAACAAGCCCAGGCAAACAAAAAGATCCTTTGGATTCTCTTAAAAATTATTTTTCTCTTCCATGAGTGGGCGAGACAGAGACACAGAGAGATACCTCCAACAGTGTCCTGATGCCACAGATCGTCCCCAGCCTCAGGCAGCTTCAGTCACAAGCCAATATGTGCCTGTCATACTCAGGGGCTGAACGGCGGACCTTTCCACGTGGGACCGCATGACAGAGTGTCATGTTTACCTCTGCACCACTGTCTGGCCCAAGTGCTAGTCTTCCTCTGTATTCCAGAAAACCTGTCGGAATAACCCCGTTAATAATGATACAGGTTCTAACACTTGCTGAATACTATTATAGATTGGGCAGGAACATTGTTTCTAACTTACAATCAGAGGATTTTTAGAAATAGTTTGCAATCTAATCACTGTACATCTTTACAGGGTGCAATATGGTTTTTCAAAGATGAAGGCAGTGCGTGTGGATCAAGTAAAAGCTATGACCACGTCACCATCTTCAACAGATAGCTTCCATTCTCATGTCTACCCAGCGTTCTCTCCTGAGCCGCTCCCAACCCCCTCACCCCTCCTCTATAGTCTCGTATCTGCGCTTGCCCGTTCTGCTATTATAATCTTCCAGTCTTTCTGTTTGTGTCCCAAGGTGCAGATATTTGCTATATATTGAGCGGGGACATAACAGTGTCGGTCTTTGACATTTTGGTTTGCTTGGCTTAGCATCAACTCTTCCATATCCACTTACTTTGTATCAAATGACAGTGTCTCATGGTTTTTATGGCTGGGTGGTATTCCATAGTGAGTATGTGCCACATTTTTTTTTAAATTAAATCCAGTCATCCATTCTTGGGTTTTTAGGTTGATTTCATGTCTTAGCAATCGTGAATAATGCTGCAATAAACGTAAACGTCTTTCCAACCGAATCTTGTCCAATCCTTTAGGTAAATATCAAGAGAGAAATTACTGAATCACATGAGAGTTCTGCGTGAACTTTTGAGAAATCTCCATATTGTTCTCCACGGTGTTCTCCACGGTGGCTAAGTAGACCTCTGAGTGACACTGGTTGAAGTGAACCTGAAGAAAATGAGAGAAGTTAAAGAGGACTTTGTATGGAAGACTGCCCTCAGCCTTGAGGAGCAAGTAGGTTTATAGAGGAACCTGGCACTTGTTGGGTACCTATGTAAGGTGTGCCTGGTGGTGTTCTGAGTATTCTAACAATGGCCATTATGCGATGTAATCCTTACAGTCTTGAAATAAATTACTCTGGTTTAAAAAAACGGGAACACTGTATTCGTCTACTTTGTATAAAATGTCAGAATGTGTCCTTGCTTAACACATGGGGAATGTCTACACTGTACGGCAGAAACCGAAAGACGGGAAGGTACAAAAATGGAGGTGGGGTCGGTGTGGTTAACCGTAGATACCAGAGACAGTGCAGAGGGGGTGGGTGGTGGGAAGAGGAGGGGAAGAAAGAACACTTAACTAACATTTAACATATGAAAAGGTATCTGTTGATGATAATGTGTATAGTAATATCTTGGGCCAGAATATAAATACACACTGCATTCGTGCTGGGAAGATCGTTATGCACACTGTCAGGATATACAGCGATTAAATGTAAATAAAAAACAAAAACCGGAAACACTAAAGCACAGAGAGATTGCGTAATTTGCCCAGGCTATAAAGCTAGTAAGTGATGAGGCCGTTCCTAAAGCCAGGTCTTCCTTTTACTGACACACATTCTCTTTTCAATACCACCTCTGAGTCTGTGCGCTGTCCACACAGATGCTGGCTGGTAGGTAGCATGAAGCAGAGCAAACCACCATCAGGGCCTCTGAGATCTGGAAGAGACACAAAGCTTTCAACCCAGGATCCTACTCCTAAGGATTTGTGGCATAGAAATAAAACCGGTATGTAAGAAGTTGTCTAGCCACCCTCTTGGTCCTTCCACTGCCCTAGGCCTCAGGGTCAAGGGTCAAATCAGTACATGATTCCATGGCAGTTGGACACCCTAACAGCAAGCTGGGCCTGACACGGGGGGGGCAGGGGGGGGGGAAAGCTCTGACACGGGGGGGGCAGGGGGGAGAGAAAGCTTGGGGCCCTGAGAGCCAAGAAATCACCCCCCAGGTCCCGAGAGCTCTAGGAGGTACCCCACGGTCAGCCTGTATCCTTCGACAAGCAGGTAGGTGCTGAGTGTACAGCTCTCTGTAATGAGTGGCAGAGATAGGATCCCAAGTCTGTTGCGGTTGGTAGTAAGTCTCAAGAGGCATCTTCTCCAGAGAGAAGGGGAAGTTTGTTAAAAGAAAGAGCACCAGGGGGTCTAAAGCTGGAGGAGCTTCATCCTGCCCACTGGGAATGAGGAGCTTCCTTTTATAGAGTAATCAAGCTATTCCAGGAGGCTGTAAGTGCGACTGAGATGCGGGGGAGTTCGGCACAGTGGGATAAACATAAATGAAACATTTGGTGTTTTTTGTTTTGTTTATCTCCAGGGAGTCAGACCTCTCGGTACTCGGTACTCGCTTGGGGTCACTGTCTGCTACTCCCTGGGTCGGTGTGAACCTGCAGTAGCAGCTCCTGGAGTGGAGGCTCCTGCCTAGACCAGTTCCACGGAGATCCCGCCTGGGTTCCTTGTCAGACCTCGAGTGATACCGGGTGGTGCTCAGGGGAGCTCTCCTGCTTGGGACCTTACAAAGCCCAAGTCCTTCGTCATAAACCCTCCCCGTCTGCTTAAATGCACTGCTAAACATTAGCTTAAAAACAAAAGATACAAAAGAAATATAAAATTTACAAAGTTAAAAGATGGATGGAGGTTTAGAAGAGAAACTGTATGTAGGAGGCCATGAAAGAAGCTCATTGCGAATCAAAGAGAGTGGCCTGTAACAAGATGAAAGAAAGGGCAGAGAGACCTGGGGGATGACTCTCATCTTGGTTCAGCAAAAGCCAGGCTTTGGTTTTCAGTACAGTCCTGGGGCCCTGAGCTCAGTGCATGCCATGAGTGCCTATTCACAGCTGCCGGGTTACAAAGTAGCTCTGACAGGAAATGAGTGTGCCACATCAGTGACATCACACTGGCCCGCACTGGCTCCGCATATCACGCCAGTGCGCAGGTCCTTCGCGAGTCGAGACACTGGTCTATTTCCTGGAAGTCAGAACTACTTGGGCCCCCCTAGTGTTTCATGGCATCCTCAGTTTGGAATGGCAATTCCTGTTGTGCTCTCTAGCCGAGTATCAATCATGATGATCTTGAAACCCTCCCCTTCACTGACCTCTACCAAATGTCACTTAATCCCGGGATTTACAGTCCTAACTCTGCAGTGGGACCTCTTCAGTCATACGTGCAATCTCCCTTTATAACTGACAGCTCTTTCTACATGTGCTATCAGGCCTCCTCTGTATCTGACAGCTCCCTCTACATGTGATATCAGGCCTCCCCTGTATCTGACAGCTCCCTCTATGTGCTATCAGACCTCCCCTGTATCTGACATCTCCCTCTACATGTGCTATCAGACCTCCTCTGTATCTGACAGCTCCCTCTACATGTGATATCAGGCCTCCCCTGTACCTGACAGCTCCCTCTATGTGCTATCAGATCTCCCCAGTATCTAACCACTCTCCCTATGAGCTATCAGATCTCCTCTGTATCTGAAAGCTCCCTCTACATGATATTAAATCTCCCCCTGTATCTGACAGCTCCGTCTACGTGTGCTATCAGATCTCTGTATCTAACCACTCTTCCTACATGATATCAGATCTCCTCTGTATCTGACAGTTCCCTACATGGTATCAGATCTCCTCTGTATCTGACAGCTCCCTGCGTGATATCAGCTCTCCTCTGTATCTGACAGCTCCCTGCGTGATATCAGCTCTCCTCTGTATCTGACAGCTCCCTGCGTGATATCAGCTCTCCTCTGTATCTGACAGCTCCCTGCGTGATATCAGCTCTCCTCTGTATCTGACAGCTCCCTGCGTGATATCAGCTCTCCTCTGTATCTGACAGCTCCCTGCGTGATATCAGCTCTCCTCTGTATCTGACAGCTCCCTGCGTGATATCAGCTCTCCTCTGTATCTGACAGCTCCCTGCGTGATATCAGCTCTCCTCTGTATCTGACAGCTCCCTGCGTGATATCAGCTCTCCTCTGTATCTGACAGCTCCCTGCGTGATATCAGCTCTCCTCTGTATCTGACAGCTCCCTGCGTGATATCAGCTCTCCTCTGTATCTGACAGCTCCCTGCGTGATATCAGCTCTCCTCTGTATCTGACAGCTCCCTGCGTGATATCAGCTCTCCTCTGTATCTGACAGCTCCCTGCGTGATATCAGCTCTCCTCTGTATCTGACAGCTCCCTGCGTGATATCAGCTCTCCTCTGTATCTGACAGCTCCCTGCGTGATATCAGCTCTCCTCTGTATCTGACAGCTCCCTGCGTGATATCAGCTCTCCTCTGTATCTGACAGCTCCCTGCGTGATATCAGCTCTCCTCTGTATCTGACAGCTCCCTGCGTGATATCAGCTCTCCTCTGTATCTGACAGCTCCCTGCGTGATATCAGCTCTCCTCTGTATCTGACAGCTCCCTGCGTGATATCAGCTCTCCTCTGTATCTGACAGCTCCCTGCGTGATATCAGCTCTCCTCTGTATCTGACAGCTCCCTGCGTGATATCAGCTCTCCTCTGTATCTGACAGCTCCCTGCGTGATATCAGCTCTCCTCTGTATCTGACAGCTCCCTGCGTGATATCAGCTCTCCTCTGTATCTGACAGCTCCCTGCGTGATATCAGCTCTCCTCTGTATCTGACAGCTCCCTGCGTGATATCAGCTCTCCTCTGTATCTGACAGCTCCCTGCGTGATATCAGCTCTCCTCTGTATCTGACAGCTCCCTGCGTGATATCAGCTCTCCTCTGTATCTGACAGCTCCCTGCGTGATATCAGCTCTCCTCTGTATCTGACAGCTCCCTGCGTGATATCAGCTCTCCTCTGTATCTGACAGCTCCCTGCGTGATATCAGCTCTCCTCTGTATCTGACAGCTCCCTGCGTGATATCAGCTCTCCTCTGTATCTGACAGCTCCCTGCGTGATATCAGCTCTCCTCTGTATCTGACAGCTCCCTGCGTGATATCAGCTCTCCTCTGTATCTGACAGCTCCCTGCGTGATATCAGCTCTCCTCTGTATCTGACAGCTCCCTGCGTGATATCAGCTCTCCTCTGTATCTGACAGCTCCCTGCGTGATATCAGCTCTCCTCTGTATCTGACAGCTCCCTGCGTGATATCAGCTCTCCTCTGTATCTGACAGCTCCCTGCGTGATATCAGCTCTCCTCTGTATCTGACAGCTCCCTGCGTGATATCAGCTCTCCTCTGTATCTGACAGCTCCCTGCGTGATATCAGCTCTCCTCTGTATCTGACAGCTCCCTGCGTGATATCAGCTCTCCTCTGTATCTGACAGCTCCCTGCGTGATATCAGCTCTCCTCTGTATCTGACAGCTCCCTGCGTGATATCAGCTCTCCTCTGTATCTGACAGCTCCCTGCGTGATATCAGCTCTCCTCTGTATCTGACAGCTCCCTGCGTGATATCAGCTCTCCTCTGTATCTGACAGCTCCCTGCGTGATATCAGCTCTCCTCTGTATCTGACAGCTCCCTGCGTGATATCAGCTCTCCTCTGTATCTGACAGCTCCCTGCGTGATATCAGCTCTCCTCTGTATCTGACAGCTCCCTGCGTGATATCAGCTCTCCTCTGTATCTGACAGCTCCCTGCGTGATATCAGCTCTCCTCTGTATCTGACAGCTCCCTGCGTGATATCAGCTCTCCTCTGTATCTGACAGCTCCCTGCGTGATATCAGCTCTCCTCTGTATCTGACAGCTCCCTGCGTGATATCAGCTCTCCTCTGTATCTGACAGCTCCCTGCGTGATATCAGCTCTCCTCTGTATCTGACAGCTCCCTGCGTGATATCAGCTCTCCTCTGTATCTGACAGCTCCCTGCGTGATATCAGCTCTCCTCTGTATCTGACAGCTCCCTGCGTGATATCAGCTCTCCTCTGTATCTGACAGCTCCCTGCGTGATATCAGCTCTCCTCTGTATCTGACAGCTCCCTGCGTGATATCAGCTCTCCTCTGTATCTGACAGCTCCCTACGTGATAGCAGATCTCCTCTGTATCTGACTGTCTCAGATACAGAGATTTTAGAGCTCTGTTTCTTTAGGGCTGATATTCGTCTCCCCCTATATACACTAGCTCCCTCTGTTTTTATATCAGGTCTTACAGCTCTCTCGGGACATCTGGGCACCTCGGTCCTTCCATTGCACTAGGCCACGGAGTCAAAGGTCAGATCAATGTTGCACGACTGTTGGCAGCGTCCTGACCACCAAGTGGCCTGAGTTTCCCTGTGGTAAAGGAGAGTTGTCCTCTATGTTCTACAGACTTCAGCCTGTGCTACTCTGAAGTCCTCAGCAATCACCGAAGCCCAGATGTTGCCTTCTGCCTGTGACTAGTCAAATCAGAGAAGAGACATGTGGCATTGCAGTGGTGATCTCCAGCTTTGGTGCTAGAAAGCTTCATCCACAATGGTGCAGATATGGACCAGAAATATCCAGGCTTTGAACATGTTCTCCTCCTCCTGGGCCGTAGTCTTGCTGGCGATAGGAGTCCTCATGGATGAGTGGGTGGAACTGACCTCCCAAACCGAGACAGAAATAGTCAAGAAACACCACAGTCCGTGGATGACGTGCTGCCTTGCTATCTGGCCAGAAGGTCAGGACTAAACTCTGAAAAGAGACGGGTGGGGCGGAAGGGTTCATCTTTCCTTGACTTCCGTTCACCTCACCGACTCGCCTGGTATTCTCTGGTCTTCCTCGGGCAGCGTCCCGTGTGCCCATTTTCGGGACACAGTCAAAGCAGACTCCGAACTCACCACTTGCACGTTTGTGAGGAAAGCGTAGAGGCTCGCAGACTGAATCGCTGAGCACTGAGAAGTCCTTGTAGTGGCAGTGGGTGGTGGGTACGGCTAGTGCATGGGGCGTGAAAGAGAGGTGGCTGGCAGCAAGGTCACAGGTCCTACTGCCACTAGACGAGCACAAGGCAAACCAGAGTAGTTGACAAGAAATGAGTTCTGTGGGAAATGGACGAGGAAGAAACAGAGACAGCAAACTAGTGAACAGTTCCTTCTTTTTCCCTAATTCACGCTAATGTTCCCCACCGTTCCCTCCTTTCCCCCTTCTTTTCTTAACTATTTAATCAGATCTCTCCCGCCCATTTCTACCTAGAGCTGTGTGGACTTCAGGTGGGAGTGAGCCTAAAAGAGATGCCTGTCCTCTCGGTGCACCTTCTTCCCAACAGGTAGCCTGGAGGTGGTTAGGATCCTGATGATCATGGTCCTCAGCTTTTCCTTCTTCCTTAACTTGTTCCTGGGTTTGGAATTCACCTATATGATTCCTCGAAATAAATACGTAACCCTCTTCGCTGCTTTCCTTGGCTTCCTCTCAGGTAACTTCCTGGCTCCCCGCTCATCCCCGTGGAGGTGTGCTTGGTTTGCGGGCACAGGCGGTCGGCTCTGCTTGGTGCTCTGATTCAGACGTTTGTGTGGCTTCTGCATCTGATCTGCCACTAACGCGGAGTCAGTCCTGGGACGAGGGGCAGTCGGACAGGGTGGAGGCTGGGAGGCATTGCGATCTCGGGTGAAGACTTGACTCTAAGAGCCACGGTTCCTCCAAAGGGACTCTCTTCTCCTTGTGTCTGGACAACCAGGTGCCCTCATGCTCTGCGCGATCTTACTGTACCGCCAGAAGCTAGAAAAAGGCAAGTCCGTGTACTTCTCCAGCTACAAGGAGTCATGGGTCACTGCCACTTCCTATTTAAACGTTTTCTTCCTTTTTGCCAGTGGTGAGTGTCTCCAGAAAGACAGAGGGGAGGGCGGGTGGGGTGGGGGTTAGAGGGAAAGATGACAAACTTTGCATTTTGAAAGGCTGAAACTCACCTGAATTCACTCTCTGGAGATAGTTCCTACGAGGAGAGAGCTGGTGGTCAGGCCCTGTGCCATGTTTGGTGCCTGCCTCGGAAGGCTCCTCTTCGCCACTTCATTTGTCTTTCACGTCCTCCCTACATTAGGGCAGAGATGACCGTCAGAGTCATGGCCGAGGAGAGAGGGTGACACGGAATGCTCAGTTACGTGACGAGGGTCATCACCCTGGGAGTGCAGGGTAGGAAAAAGGCAGTTTAAGGACAGGCAGAAACAACAGCCAATGACCACCTGCCCGAACCGGAAACCCGCCCTTCCTCAGTAGTCTTTAAACTTTCACTTGGAATTGTACTTCCTAACCCAGAGGGAAGCATGTCCTCTTTCGAAAAGATCCTCAACTCCCTGCAGAACAGCGTTTAAGCTATGGTGTACACATTTCCAGTCAGTCCCACTAGTAGTTGGAAGGGGTCCACTGGGTCTCAGGTCAAGGTCTCCTGCCAGTGCTGAGGGGGATCGATCCGTGACTGCCCACTGTTCCTCATTCCACTTCCTGGGTTCTCTTTTCCCCAGGAATCCTGTCTCTCCTACAGTGCAAGTGTCCCACCAGCAGCTGCTCCTGTCTGAACATCCATGAGTTTGCCAGAAAACATGGGGGTGGAAAGCAAAGACGGAGCTCTATCCAAGTGATCTCATTACCACAACGGACGGAAATGCCTCGTAGCATTATCCGAACACACACCAAAGAAGGCTCACTGGACGAATCGCAAGTCCACACACGCCGTGTGACCTGGGCTGTGTGATTGGACCACACGTACCTTCCGGTATTTGCTCACCTTTATGGGAATGGCTTTGTATTTGTCTCCAACCATTGTGTGTGTTTGCATTACGTAAATGACTGGGAATGGGCTGGAGTCTGTAAAATGATCCAGAAATGCCTTTGTGTGTGTGTGTGTGTGTGTGTGTGTGTGTGTGTGTGTGTGTGTTTATCCTGGCCTGTTGGACGAATGGTTTCTTCTACAACACTGGTTACAATAGAAACATAATAAATATTACTATATAATTATTTCTTGTTGTATTGTTAACTCTACACATCATAAAGACTTATAATGTTATGTAACACCTTTTATTTGTGAAATATTTAAGACATAGAACAGAACATAAAACAATATGACAAACACCTATATGCACATCACCCGACGTTATAAAATTTTAGCACTATGTCCTATTTCCTTTAGAAGTTTCCAATTAAATTTATTCATAATTGGGGTTAGCAGATGGCATGGGAGTTTAAGACACTGGACTCCCACATGGCTGATTGTGGTTCAAATCTCAGACCTGGCAGCAGCTTGCTTTCTCACTTTCTCTCTCTCTCTCTCTGTCTCTCTGTCTTTTTCTGATCAAATTTAAAAAAATAATAATAAAAAATAAAGTTAAATAAAAATAATCCTTTAAACAAATATATTTATAACTGATGTTTTTTTTTTTTTTTCTGAGAGGTTTCTGCTATAGGGCACGTGCGCTCGCCAGACAGAGAGAGACAGAGATGGAAAGCGAGAAATCACCCCTCAGGGGGGATGGCCACGCTGCAATCCCTTCTCTTCCATTCTCTTCTTGGGATCTCGGGCACGCAAGCACACGCACCCGGTGTGAGTTTTAAGCCACCGGGTCCAGGATGCGAACCAAGGTCAACTACATGGCAGTCCAACGACATAGCCATTACGCTAACTGCTGGTCCCTATAAATGACGTTCTTCTAAAAATTTTGCTAATCTCATTTCTCTCCTCTGTGGTCCATCATAAAACACTTTTAAAGATTCATGGCTGATCATTTTACATTCATGTTATCATTTTTACAACAACTTTATATGTTTATAGAAATTATATAGACTGTGTTTTTAATGTTTAAAAAGTATTAAATATTATACCATATAGATTTTTTTTTTGCAATTTTCTTTGTATGGGAAGAGTGTGTTTAGTTTTGTAAGAAATTGCCAAACTGTCTTCCAAGACGGCTGTATCATTTTGCATTCCCACAAGCAATAAATGAGAGTTATAAGTAAGTGCTGTAGTTTGTCAAATGTTTTTTTCTATTGATAAGATTATTGAAATTTTCTTCTTTATTTTTATATACTTGATTATTAATACACTAATTGATTTTCAAATGTTGAAACAGTTTGCGTCTACATTCATGAGAGATATTGATCTACAGTTTTCCTGTAATATTTTTGATTGGTTTTGGTGCTAGGTCGACGCTGGCCTTATAGATGTGATGTGCTGAAAGTTTTTCTCTCTGCTTCTGTCTTCTGGAAGAGATTGTAGAGATTTAGTGTAGTAATTTCTTCCTTAAATGCTTTAGAATTTATAAGTGAATTGCTCTGATTGTGGTCCTTTCTATTTTAAAAGGTTATTAATTCGTGATTCTATGTCTTTAATATAGTTAAGCCTATTCATATTATCTATTTTTTGTGTGTATTCATTTTGGTATATTGTGTCTTTCAGGGACCAGTGTCTTTCAGGAAACCCATTTAGGATATTAAATTTGTGAGCACCGAGCTGTTCATAGAGTTTTAAATTATTCATCTAATGTCCATGGGATGTGTTTGATGTGCCCTCTTTCATTTCTGATATTTGGTGTCTGTGCCTTTTTCAAATTAGCCTGGCTTGAGGCTTACAGATTATTATTTTTATCAATTTGAGAAAGCAGTTTTGACTCTGAGAAAACAATTTTTGGTCTTGTCGATTTTCTTTACTGATTTCCTGTTTTCAGCTTCATTGATTTCTTCTCAAATTTTTATTATTTCTTTTTCTTATTTTGGATTTAATTTGCTCTTATTTTTCCTGTTTCTTACAATGGAAGCCTAAATTACCGACTACAGTTTTTTCCTACTATGTGCATTGAATGCCGCAATTTTCCGAGTAAGAACTGCTTTCACCATATTTCACAAATTTTGACAAGTTGTGGTTTTGGTTTCACTTACTTGTAAACATTTTCATTTTCTCTGTGCCAGCCCGGGAGTCTCGTTGTTAAAAGAGCCAGAGCCCACATGACCTATTGCGGTGCAAATCCTGGCCCTGGTGGCTTGAAAAATACACCAAGTGCATGTATGTACTCAGGATCCTGGAGGACGGAGAAATGGAGCGAAGAAGTTGCAGCATGACCATGTCCCATTGGGGTACCATTGTGGTATGTGTGCTCTCTCTCTCTCTCTCTCTCTCTCTCTCATCTCCCTCTCTCTGTCTTTCTCTTTCTCCTTCTCTCGAGTGTATGTACCTTCTGGCAATTTAAAAAAATACGTGGAAGGGGCCAGCAGGTGGTGTGATGGTTTAGGTGTTAGATCTCACATGATGAACTTTGGTTCTAGTCCCAGACCTGGACACTAGTTTTCTCACTTTCTCTCTTTCTCCCCTTCCCTCTCTTTCTCTCTTTCTCTCTCTCCTTGTCTAATGAGCACAAGTGCTCTATAGCAAATTTTAAAAAATAGTAATAATAAATAAAATTAAATAATTCTTTAAAAAAAAAGAAGAAGACAAGGCATTGGGTAGTCTAAACGTTGTTGCCATGGTACTTTTTTTTTAATTAATTTATTTTTTTATTTCATTTTCTCTAATACATCCAATCACATTATTATTTGACTTACAAAATGGATATTTCAACTGGTGAACATTTCTCCCTAGTACAGTTGATAAAACTATAAAATATCTTCAACAGATAATACCACATTTCTTTGTGCCTTTAATACTTTGCCTCTCTATTTTTCTTCTCAATGTCCCCACTTAATGCATGCCGAGTGTCCGCACTCTATGACTGAAACTAATTGACTAAAGGATATAGAAACAGTATATGGAGGTAAACACCGGGTATAGCGTGTGTGAAAGAGGATAGCCCTGGACATTAAAATGCTAATGAAGGCCCGTGTTGCCAGGCATTTCCCAAGTTTATTGGAGGAAAATAGTAAGATCGGGGCTGGAAATTTCAGCTCGAGTCCAGGCAAAGAGAACGTTTATCTTCTACAGCCTCGGGATTGAGGTTTCTGAAAACGAAATCCGGAGTTCAATCATTGGAATTGGTGAATTACATTACAAATTGAATTTACAACCTCAGAGTCTCTTATGATAAATTCAAGGCATTGCTGGGAAGACTATCAATGGGGACCCTGAGAATTAGGTTGGAGACATACAGGAACATTCTCAGGAAGACCAGAATCTTCAACCTAAAAATTCTGCTGAACTGTCTTTGCTTATAAAAGTAGGCGCTTCTCTCCTGTCGGAGGATCTTCATTTAATCTGCCTGGAGAACCTTTGATAACATAGTCAGAGGTAACACGGTCGACTACGTGGGAGTCCAGCGACATAGCCATTACGCTAACTGCTGGTTCCCAACCTCAGAGTCTCTTATGATAAATTCAAGGCATTGCTGGGAAGACTATCAATGGGGACCCTGAGAATTAGGTTGGAGACATACAGGAACATTCTCAGGAAGACCAGAATCTTCAACCTAAAAATTCTGCTGAACTGTCTTTGCTTATAAAAGTAGGCGCTTCTCTCCTGTCGGAGGATCTTCATTTAATCTGCCTGGAGAACCTTTGATAACATAGTCAGAGGTAATTGTCTTTCTTGGGAGTAGAGAGCCTCCTTTGGACTCGCGGTAATCCCATTACATCGGTTCTAGATCTCCAAACAAACTCAACTCTGACAGACCCTGGGGAGTCAGATACAAAGTGATCCATGAGAATATAATTACTTTTATTTTATTTTTTAATTTAAAAACATTTAACTGGGGGACCAGCAGTTAGCGTAATGGCTATGTCGCTGGACTCCCACATAGTCGACCGCTGTTCGAGTCCCAGACCCGGTGGCTTAAACCCAACACTGGGCACATGTGTGTGTGTGCCCAGGATCCTGAGGGGAGAATGGAGGAGAAGGGATTGTGGCGTGGCCACTCCCCCCAGGGGAGTGATTTCTCGCTTTCTGTCTCTCTGTCTCTCTCCATCTGTCTGGCAAGCACACGCGCCCTATAGCAAAAAAAAAAAAAAAATCCTCTCCAAAAAAAGAAAAAAACAAAAAACATTTAACTGGCAAATAAAGATGGTATATATTCAAGGTATACAGTGTGATGAGTTGACGTATGTATACATTGTATACGTGCCCACAAAATAACACATCTGTCACAACCCGGGTGGTTCATTAGATCCTCAGATCTTACCTTATCATTGAAAATGTGTACCATTGAGGCCAGCAGGTGGATTGGGGTTAAGGCACTAGACCCCCATATGGTTGACTGCGGTTCAAATCCTGGTCCTGACAGCTTGATTTCTCAATTTCTCACTCCCTCCAGACCCCTGTCTCTCTGTCTCCCTCTGGTGAGAGCACATGCTCTGTAGTAAATTACATAATTATGGTAATAATAAATAAATGTAAATAAATAGTTCTTTGAAATATAAAGTTCGTACCCTTTAATCAACATACTCCCATTTTATCTCCCACCCTACCCATCCCTGGTGATTACCAGGTTACTCTCTTTTTCTTATGAGTTCATAATATTTTGAGAATTTCTGTCAAAAAAAAAATCTGACCAGTATGTATGGGATTGGTCATATCAGAGTGGCCATAGAGCCCATATTCAGCATTTGAGCTTGAATGTCTGGGGCTGGCTTTACTAGCCCAATGTGGGCCTGTGAGAAGACAGGTGGATCCTCCAGGACGAGAGTGGACCACTGTGAACTCGTGGTAACATGCATTGCAGCTGTGGTTCCAGATGAGGTCTCTCTACTGGAGCATTTCAACCTATCACCGAGGACCTGCTACTCAAGTACCGCCCTGGCAAATACCCTCTCATACCTGTAAGTAAAACCTCCGGGAACATATTCTCACTTTAACAAATCAGTATTCTATTGATCACCCAGTACATGATCCCATACTTTGGGCATGAAAATGTAAAGTTCTGGCTTTTTATTTTTAAAGATTTTTACTATAGGGCACGTGCACTTGCCTGAGAGACAGACAGAAAGTGAGAAATCACCCCCCAGGGGGATGGCTGCTCATCAATCCCTTCTTCATTCTCCTCTCCGGATCTTGGGCACACATGCACACGGGTTGTGTGTGAGTTTCAAGCTGCTGGATCCAGGACTCCAACCGCAGTCCAGCACCTTGGCCACTATGCCACCACCTAGCCCCACATTATCCCATACTTTTAATATTTAGGGTTTTTGTTTTGTTTGTTTGTTTGAAGAAAGAAGAGGAGA